TCTTTTTGCCTCCATTTATTCTGTTCCCTCTGCTCCGCTCCCTTCTCTCCTCCCCTCCCCTCTCCTTTCCTCCCCTCCCTTCCCCTCTCCTCTCCTCTCTTCTCCTTTCTTCCCTTCTTTCCCTCCCTTTCTATTGATAAGAACCCTACAGGAAATCATCTTTTAAAGGGAAGTATTCTTTCTTTCACAATGTGAATAATGAACATAATTTATGCTTTACGCATTCAGATTTCTACACTTGGTAAAACTGGGTCATGGGTACATGGGACATCTTTGTATCACTCTTGTAACTTTTCTGTAGGGTTAGGTGTGTACACAAATAAAAGTTACAAAGAACCAGATTTCTTTACATTATAGTTCAGCCTATACAGTATCCCAGGTAAATAAAATAGCCAGGTAACTGGGATTGAGAGGCCTTTCCCTTTATATCAATCACTTATGAGCAGGAAAAGAAAGGACAAACTAAGGGAGGAAAATCTCTTTAAAGAGGTAGAAATAGAGAAACTGACATGTCAGATGCAAGATCACAGGGCCCCCCAGGAGGACCGGGGCCAGGGCCCACCCAGTATTCTGAAACAGAAAGAAAAGACAAGGCAGGAGAAGGAATATCAGCCTGAGCGCTGTTCAAGGAGAAAGCAAGACTGAGCACTAGAAGTGGAAAGAATGGACAAATAGATTTTCCTAAAGTCAGAATGAGATGAGTGCCTCCAGTGGCTAAACCTGGAACTGGAAGAAAGGAAGACAGGAAATGTACTTGTTTAAATGCAAATGAAAGCCACTTTAGTGGAACTTTTTCCTCTTCCTGAGCCTCCACCCTTTGTTTCCCACACCACGTGGAGGATCAACAACCAATGTCTACAAAGTACTAGAAAAATATCCTTTTGTGATATTCTTCCCTCAGTGGACGTGACCTTCAGATGTCAACACAAAATAATTTTCCATGATTAAACACTGTTAGCAGGATTGAGGTTAAACGGGCTATTCATTGCAATATTCTTTATACTTTCTTAAATACTGGAAATATTTCTATAGTGCAATATAAAAGACAAAAACAAAAGTAAAAGAAAAAGAAAGATCCTGTGTATTGATTTGACTAAAAACCAGTCAAAACATTTTCTCAGACTATGCTGTCAGGGAACCAGTGTAGAGAGTAAAAAATGTTGTGAAACAGCCAGGCTGAATTTTTGATCTAGTTGACTGATATTTTTATACTGAATAGATACACTCTTGGCAGGTGCAAATATAATCCTAGGCAGAGTTGGCATTTTTCCATTCTTAATATTTTTCTGAGTCACATTTTCCATTAATATTAAAAGACTTTCCCTGTTTCATCTAAGAACTGGTTAAAAAAGGAAAAAGAGAAGACATTCATACATTCAAGACTTTCTTCTTAAATGTTTCTATACTTAAGACTATAGGAAAGAACACGCATAATTTTCCATAGGTTATGATTGAGTAATTTTTTTTTCAATGGCTTTTCTTCAAAAACACTGAATTTATGTTTTCCCCCCCACTGGCCTGTGATTTCAAAGAACGCTTTTGACTAGCAGAGGTATATTGACCTCAGCCTTGTGCCCTTATTAAAATAGGCTGTAAACATGAAGTGGCTTCCATGTATAATATGTTTTATTTCCTCTGACATCATGTAGGTTAATTTTGAGAGAAATGAAAAGAGAGCCAGAAAATAGCCTCCCCCTCAAATGATTTCCAATCCATCTTTTTGCTCACATGGCTAATCAGAGAATGTCAGTTGGGGCAGAATGACCAAACTGGCTCCAGTTTTGCCCATTAAGGTCCTGTCTTTCTTGCAGTGCTTGGAGCAGCAGCAGCTGGCACGGGCGGATCAAAGGAGGAATGAAAGGCTTTCAGAGCTTCATGGTTTCAGACAGTAACATGAGTTTTGTGGAATTTGTTGAGCTGTTCAAATCATTCAGGTATGACATGCTTTCTTGTTACTCTCTCTCAGCCCCACATTTTAATAAAACACTAACTGTGACTGTTTTCATTCCTCGCACAGTGTAAGGAGCCGCAAGGACCTAAAGGACCTCTTTGATCTCTATGCCGTGCCCTGCAACAGAGCCGGCTCTGAGGCGGCCCCACTCTACACCAACCTAACCATTGACGAAAACACCAGCGGTCTGCAGCCTGACCTAGGTTTGTATTACAATGTAATCTTTCCCTTTAAGACCTTTCTAACTACAAACCAAGGTTAGAGATCCATTCACACCATCCCCCCAACTGTCCCACATGGCATGCTGTTACCTGTAGAATGGTGAAGCACTTAAGAGAGAACTATTGCAAGGTGTCATCAGCATGTGGGGCAAGGAAATGTATCATTGTTTGGGTCTGCCCGTGTAAGAATACTTAACCAGTAGAGCCCTCCAGTCATGCTGACCACCAAAAACCCTTTCCCACCCATTTCCAAAAGTCCACTGGGTGTGTGGTACGTCCCAGTTGAGAACGACCAGTCTCTTCCCTACCTACAGGCCAATGGGTGCTCAACCCCAGAGGGAGAGTTGTCTGCCCTTCGACAACGATAGTCTTTAGTGACCTCCGCAGAACACTCCTGTCTGACCATCCGGGACATTTTTCCTGATACATGCACCAGATGTCTAATTGTTCTGTCACACTCACCACAACCACCATTACCATCACCACCCATGCATTTGAAAGCCCATTATTTTTCTCTTCTGTTCTTCCTTGAAACTACAAACACACACAAAAAAAGCAAAAATCAAAAACCTGTTTTTTTCATGTAATTGCTTTTTAATTATTTAAAACCCATTTTGTCCTTAAGCTAAGAATATTAACTTTTGGGCCGGCCGAGTGGCTCAGTTGGTTAAGAGTTGGCTTAAGAGCACAAGTTCTGAACAACAGAGCCGCCGGTTTGATTCCCACATGGGCCAGTGACGCTGCGCCCAAGCTGAGCAGTCGCTGAGCTGCCAACAGGTGGCAGGATGGCTCAACTGGTGTAACAACAAGATTGCCTGTTCGATGGTGGGCTACGCCCACCTGGAACTAAGACTGAACTTGGCACCATGAGCTGAGCTGTCGCCCGGATGGCTCAGTGGATAGGGTGTGTGCTCTTAACAACAAGGTTGCCAAGTTCGACTCCCGCATGGGATGGTGGCTACACCCACCCACAACTAAAATTGAACACAGCACCTTGAGCTTAGATGTCATGAACTGCCGACAGGCAGCCAGATGGCGACTGGCGCCCTCCACAATGAAGATTGAAGAACTACAACTTGGCTGGTCCCCCTCCCCAATTCTCCAACACTGTTCCCCTCTCCCAATTCCCCAATAAAATCTTTTTAAAAAGAATATTAACCTTTTTCAACTTTAGTCATAAAATATGCATAACTATGGATTAGTCAACCAGTTGCACTTTTTGCAAATTTAATAGACTTTTCTTAAAGCAATTTTAGGTTTATAGAAAAATGAGTGGAAAGTACAGAGTTCCCGTATACCCTCTCCCACACACACATACATAGTTTCCCCTGTTATTAATATCTTGCTTTAGTGTGGTATATTTGTTACAAGTGAGCCAACATTGATATGTTAATATTAACTGAAGTCCATAGTTTACATTAGTGTTCACTGTTTGTATTGTACATTCTGTGGGCTTTGACATAAGTATGATGACATGTATCCACCATTATAGTATTATGGATAATAGTTTCACTGCCCTAAGAAATCCCCCATGCTTCACCTTTTCATTCCTCCCACCCTCCTCTGAACCCCTGGCAACCACTTGATCTTTTTACTGTCTCTATAGTATTGCCTTTTCCAGAATGTCATGTAGTTGGACTCACACAGTATGTAGCCTATTCAGACTGACTTTTTTCACTTCGCAATATATGTTTAAAGTTCCTCCATGTCTTTTCATGGCTTCATACCTCCTTTCTTTTTATAGCTGAGTAATATTCCATTGTATGGATGAATCACAGTGTGTTTATCCACTCACCTGTGGAAGGACATCTTGGTTGCTTCCAATTATAAAGCTGTGTAAATATTTGTTTATAGGTTTTTGTGTGGACATAAGTTTTCAAATCATGGGTGAACACCTAGGAACTCAATTGCTGGATCATATGATAAGCCCATGTTTAGCTCTACATGAAACTGTCAGACTACCTTCTAAAGTGGCTAGAATTTAAATGACTGGCCATACCAAAGTCGGAGCCAGTACCAAGCAACTGATGCATTGTTGAGAGGAATGTAAAAACTCTCTTCCCTTCAGAAGAGAGTTTGGCAGCTTCTTTCAAAACTAAATATACTTTCACCGTACGCTTCAGCAATTGCATTCCTTGGTAAATACCCAATGAATTGAAAACTTATGTTCATGCAGAAACCTGCACACAAATGTTTATAGTTACACTTTTAAAGAACAGAAAAACTGTGATTTTAAGGGTACATCTTTAGTCTGTGCAAACATAAAAATATAGTAATCACTCTCAAAAACCAAAGTCCAAATTCAGTCTAAAATTCCCAATCGAATGTACGTTTAGTTCCCATTAATACCTAAGCTCGTGGGCTCTCGAAGTCATCAATCTAGCTCTTTCTTAGTTTCTTTTATTTGTTCACTGATTTATTTTTTATTCCTTCTACTATGTGAAGCCAGGAATAAGCAATGAGTGTGATGGCTTGTTTAGACAGATTACTGAAGCGTTTCTCCAGCTTAATAATACCACAGCATCATTATCTCTACAGTGAACTTTGAGAAAGATGCTGACTAGTTTGTCCGTGTTCTGTGCGTGGTTCTGTTTCAGATTTGTTGACCAGAAATGTCTCGGATTTGGGGTTGTTCATTAAGAGTAAACAGCAGCTGTCGGACAACCAGAGGCAGATCTCTGATGCTATCGCTGCAGCAAGTATCGTGACAAATGGCACTGGGATCGAGAGCACATCCCTGGGCGTGTTTGGGGTTGGCATACTGCAACTCAACGACTTTCTAGTGAATTGCCAAGGAGAACACTGCACTTATGATGAAATCCTTAGCATCATCCAGGTATGTGCCTGTTTCGTGTGCACACACACGTGTACAGCCTCCGCCCATTCTAATTGTTTCTGCTAAACATTTACTCCTTCTACACTTCTTTCCAAAGGCCTCAAGTCTGGGGCAGAAATAGAGGTGTTATTTTTGTTTTTTGGGTTTTGTTTTTGAAATGCCAAACGTATGTGTTCTTATTTAACACGCGATTAACATAGGTCCCATGCCTTCCCTCACTCAGTGACTGTGATAAGAAATCAGTGTATGATTTCTTCTTGTCATTCTAGCACATGCAGTAGAATTGGTGGTCTAGGTTTTCATCCTCTTTGCTCATTTAATAAATATTTATCAGTTCCTACTATGGACCTGGCTGGGTTCCAGGACCTGAGAATATAGTAGTAAATAATTTCAAGTTCTGGCCCGCAACACAGTTTACATTCGAGTGTGCAAGGCAGACAATAATAAAGATAGAATGTAATTTTAGGTAACAATGGGTTCTGCAAAATATTGAACAGAGTGAGAGATGGAGTGGTGCTGGAGGGCTCAGAGGAATAAGCAAAGGCCACTCTGAGAAGGTGACACTTGGGCTGAGCCCTCAACGAAGAAGCCATTGAAAGTCTGAGGAAAGAACAGACCTTCCAGAGAGCCGCAAGTTCAAAGTCTTAAGCAGGAGCGAGCTCAGGGTTTATGAGGAACAATAAAAAGGCTGTGTAATGAGAGCCACATAAGCCAAACATGATTTCAGACAGGTAGGCAGGGGCCAAACCATCTAGGTCTTTTAGGCCACAGTAAGGAGTTTGACTTTCGTCCATTAGAAGTGGGAAGCTAATGGAAATGTTTGAGCAAGGGAGTAACAGGATTTGACTTATGTTTTTAAGAGGCCACTATGGGTCCACTGGAGAGTAAACTGGGGAAGGACTGGAAGCAGAGAGACTGGGTAGGAAGCTTCCACAGTAATCCAGGCAAGATGTGGTGATGGCTTAAACGAGAGGGTGACAGGAGGTAATGGGGTGAGATAGTTTGCTGTGGTTGTGTCACATGCCATGGAATTAGTCTAGGTTTTCAACCTCACTTGTCAGCTGATTGGGAATCAGTGGATTAGCTCTCCAGCAATTGGATTTGATCACTGGAAATGCATAAAAGTTAAGATTATTATCACATGCTGAGTGCTCACTATAATACTGAGTACAAGCACTGTACTCAGTGTTCTATGGAAATTATCCTTTTTCACCTCCCATCAACTCTGTGGTACCTGCTATTAATATCCCTACATTCACCTGGATAAACTGATACCATTTGTTTTCATATAAATCAGTTTTATTCTTTTCTCTTGCTCTCTTTTTTTCTCTTAAATAAATATGCTTCATATAATAAACTCACTTATAATAAATATTTTCTTTTGGACTAAAAAACTACATCTTACCACTACAGAACTAAATTAGTTCAAATATTTGGTTTAGATGTTTCCTTATGAAAACAGAACAGCTTTAAAAAATGATGTGGTGGTTTTTTCCCCCCATAGTCCACTTTACCTAAGTAACACTCTTTTTGTATCCCTTGCAGAAGTTTGAGCCTAACATTAGTATGTGTCATCAGGGCCTAATGTCATTTGAAGGATTTGCAAGGTAACTTTTTTTAAATACCTTTTTCCTGTCATTTAACGGTATGTATTTTCCCCATGCAGTCCTAAGAAAATTTGTTTCCTCCAGGTTTCTGATGGATAAAGATAATTTTGCCTCGAAAAATGATGAGTCGCAAGAGAACATGAAAGACTTGCAGCTGCCGCTCTCCTACTATTACATTGAATCTTCACACAATACCTACCTCACAGGCCACCAGCTCAAAGGAGAATCCTCAGTAGAACTCTACAGCCAGGTACTGAGAGTTCCACTTGGAATGTGGTTTCCATTCAACCTACTTACGTAACCCCCAAAGTCACAAAAACCTGGTCCCAGATTCCTGTGAAGAACATATGAACTACTGCATGTGAAATGTGAGGAAACATGACGTGTGGGAAACTGCCTTTACATTTACATACAGTGGTTTTCTTTAAGTCTTTTGGTTTTGTTTCTTTGCCCCTATCTATACTTAACCGTTTTCTGGGCAACCAAAAAAAAAAGTTTGTTTGAGACTCATAGCTTTTAGATCCTAGTTAGTCTGACCTACTCCTACTAAAATTAGATTTTCCCATGGGAAAATTATCTAATCATTTTCCCAAATGCTGAATAAATCAATATATTATAGTGGGAAATCATAGTAGAAAATGCAGCTTTCTATGAAGTTATTCCCAAAGTATTGTTTGTTTTACTTTGCAATTTGTTAGACAATCAATCCATCCCTATGGTAACCAACTTAAGAAAAACTCTGCACAGACCGTAGGCACTGTCCCTATACCCTTAATTCATGGGAATATGCTGGGAAACTCACTAGGTCCAAGTGTGAAAATTATAATTGTATTGTTTACACAAACCCAGCAGACTTGGGTTTCCTTTGTTCTCCAGCTTAGTCCAGATATTCCTCAAAGGATGGGTCAAACTTCTGTCCCAAAGTTTATCTAGTATGGGATATGTGTTTTAAACTCTGAAATCTAAGATAATTTTATTATGAAATGAAGAAATGTCCTTAGAATAGTAATTTTCAAAATAGGAGTGCTGTCAAGGGGACTCCGTGGCTGATGCTGAGATGAGCCAGCCATAGATTAGAAAGGGCTCCACACTGCAGCTGAAGTCCTGCTCTTTTATGGGCTTTATACATTGGCCCTGCATTTGCACAGAGAATTCCAAGGTTTAAAAAAAAAGTATTTGAAATCCATTGTTCTAGGGGGAAGACATGGGGAAAAAAAGAGAGAGAATTTCTCCCCTAAAAATAAGCAAGGACCAATGTCCTAGCTTTTATTCCTACTTCGTTTCCCTATTTGACTTCAAAGAGTTTATGTTTTTTAACTCTTTTAAAAAAGGGGTATAATGTACCCCAAGTAGAAATTGTCACAGCTTTTGAATAAGGCACAAGAACCCCTTAAAAAGACTCAAAGATCACAGACATGATTAAACCTAGTGTGAATACCCCTTTAATTTTATCTCTTACCACTCTCCACTTTCTCTCAGCCTTTCTAATGACCTTCTAACATTGCTCATGGGGCAGATGGAAAGCGAAAAAGCCCTGTTCTCATGTGGAATTTCCAGAGTTGGTTTTCCTTTTCTTGCCATATATGGAGGTCTTAAGGTCATGCAGACTTTGATAAAGATCTTTAGTCTTTCCATGCTAAAAATCATCTCATCTGCTGCCAGTTGGTGAACATTTTTTCCCATTGTGGCAGACTCACTACAGAGATTAAACAGCCTCATGGTCCAGCTGGCGCATCACACAATTTCCAGCCCAAAGCAACATACCTCTAGAAACCCTAACTGCTGGAAGAGGCTGATAGCCCTGGGATTCTAGGCCACAGAATCAGTTTTACCTGGGAAGACTGGTCACCCAGGAGCACTGGGTGTTACATGCTGTGCAATGGGAAGAATCTAGCAAACATTTCATACAACAGTATTAAAATAAGAGGGATTCCACTATCTGAGTTTTGTTGCAGCAGCTCTTGTAAGCCCCCAGTATTAGGTTGCAGTCACATGGCAATTCTTATGAGGATTTTTAAATCAGTGGGTTAGGCCATTCGCAGATATATCCTCCTCTTGGCTTGGGTTACCCTTTCAATTCATGGTAATTTTTTAAGATAGTCTACAGATAGATTCTATGGAGGAAGAGGTTGCTTCAAGCACAGTTACAGAGCTACAACTCAAGCACATGTGTCAGGAGCTCTGCTTCCAACTCTAGATCCAGGAGAGCAAATAGGTATCATCTCATGTGATTCATTGGTAGTGTTTCCTGGAGCAATTTGCTAAAGAAGTCGTGAGATAATGGATCAAAGCTCACAGAGCAAGTGTGCTGTGATTGATTACTGATGTCTGCTAAGGGTATGGGAGAGGCAAGTTTATGGAGTGTTTGTCGTCTGTGCTTTAGATGCTGTTCTAGGATTAGACAGCATGGAAGATCCTTGATAAATTCCTTGCTTCTACTCTTCTTACATGCTACATGTTTATAGCAAAGTATTAGCCAGCATCAGAATTTGGACCTAAATTTGGAGGAGATTTTATCCTGATTGGATTTATATAACTGTTTGGACAGTTAATTAAAGAATCCGTGGCCTCATTTTCTCTGGGCTCTGGCATCACCTCCACTGACATCTGCCCGGATAGAGCACTGGCCTGGCTCTCTCATTTCAGCATTTGCCATATATATATATATATATATATATATATATATATATATATATATATATATATATATATATATATATATATATATAGGTCCCCTGAGGGACCAGAGTTGCTGGGAAAAATGGTCAAATGTTTTTGCCATCAAATTTTACTTTCCAATGGTACTCAAGTCTGGTAAGCATTCTTTCCACCTTAATCTGTTCTAGCCCTTCCCCACCACTGATTAATTGTGACCTTTGGCCAAAATGCAATATTTATTTAGATCTTATGCTCTTGTGCTTTAACCCTGAATTCGAATACTGATATGTAGACTCACATGCTGGGTTGAAGGCCTTATCTCCTTTAACTCATCTAGAGTGGATTCATTCATTGATCCCACAGGTTCTCTTGCAAGGCTGTAGGAGTGTAGAATTGGACTGCTGGGACGGAGATGATGGGATGCCCATCATTTATCATGGACACACACTGACAACCAAGATACCCTTCAAGGTAATGCTTTCTTTGCCTCTCCTTCAAGGTAATAACTTTCTTTAAATCAAATCTCCTGGGCAGTCCATCTTTTTCAGCTGGAGTAATAGAAACATTGTTCAGTGGTCACCTGACCATTTCCAGAAAGCCTTAGGAAATAAGGAGAGACCAACTCTCCAGTGCTTCTGGAACCACAAATCAGGGATACCAGGATGTCACCTGTCAGTTGCTTGGGGAAAACCTGAAAATATATAATAGGTCTGATGTTCTTATCCTGGCTCTGAAGTATTCCCAAAATTGTTTATAGAGTTGTGTAGGATGTTTGCATGTTCGTTTTTCTGGTGGTTGAGCTAGAACTTTCATTAGATTCTCATTCAACTAAAGTTTAACAACCATTACCTTAAATTAGTTTTCAATTTTTATTGAATAGCTATTGCAATTTTTATTGAATAGCTATTGCAATTTTTACATCATAAGATAATACCAGGGGTGCCGAAAAAATGTATACAAATGGACACTTTGGTCAGCGTTGTTCAAGCAGTAGCTTGTCGTAATCAGAAGTGGCAGGGGCCAGCCAAGTGGCGCGTTGGTTAGGAGTTGGCTTGGGACGCCAGCTCTGAGCAGCAGGGCTCTGGTTCAGATCCCACATGCAGGCCATTGACGCTGTGCCCTCTATAGCTAAGATGGTGAACAACAGCTCGACCTGGAGCTGAGCTGCCTTGAGTCACCAGCGACAGTGTAGGCGGCTGCAGTGGGGCTGTCTGGCAGCTGGCATGTGCTTTTGTGAGCTGCCGTGAGCCGCTGTGAGCAGCTGTCCAATGGCTGGTGAGCAACTGCCTCACCCGGGAAGAGCGCAGTGATAATACCAACATAGGCCAATGAAGCGACGTCCTCCACAACTAGACTGAAGAACAAAAAGGACAGCAACTTGTCTGTTCCCCTTCCCTAATTCTCCAACATTGTTCCCCTCCCCCAATTCCCCAATAAAAACCTTTAAAAAGAATTTTTTTAAAAAAAAAGAAGTGTCTGGGGCTGGCCGAGTGGCTCAGTTGGTTAAGAGCTCACTCAAGAGTTTGAGCTCTGAGCAACAGCGGTTCGATGCCCGGCCCGAGCTGAGCTGCCGCTGAGCTGCCAACAGGTGGCAGGATGGCTCAGCTAAAAAAAGAAAAAACAAAAACAAAAGAAGTGTCTGGACGCTAATGGTAACCACTTTGAGCACCTCTTGTAATTGCAGAAGTCAAACATGACTTGTATTCATCTTTTGTTATCAGTATATATTATTATAATTTTAATAGGTTTTTTTTCTTAAAATGTATATGCATTTTTTTGGCACTCTGTGTATAAAAGTCAGAAGCTGTCTCCTTTCTATAGGAATTAAAGGTCATTTGTCCTGCTCTCCTGCTGACAAAGGCCAACATCATGTGTTAGGAGATGATTAAATAATTAACATTATAAAGTAATGAGAATTGGTTCCACCTGGGGAGTTGGTCATCCAGAAAGACTGGTCTCATTGGATTATTATTTCAAATTCTAGGTAGTTTATTAGTTCATTGTGCAATTACTATCCTTATGTAGAGGGTCTTTTGCTGTGTAACATCATTTTTCTCTGAACTGTGGCTGGACTGGGAAAGAATATTATTTTTGTCTTATATGTAGAAATGATGGCTAAAATGGATTTTCTCTTTAATTCATTTTCCTATTCAGCCCTCTTAAAACTCTTGTACTGTATATCGAGGAGAAGAGGAGTTGATAACTGTGTTTTTATGAACACATAAATATGTCTTATTGCCCCAAGTAGATTATAAACTCCTTGAGAGCAGGAAAGTATCTTATGCCTTGCTATTTTTTTATGCTGTAACTAAAACAATGTCTTTTACCTATAGTATACTCGATATACATCAATAGATTTGTAAAATTCAGCATACTGATAGCTGTTCCTTGTAGCATGTAAACAAAACTCAATATGAACAACTTAATGTTTTTATGGAAAATAGCTTTGTCCTCTTGCTTAATTTGAAGATATATTTGAAAAGATAAAAACCACTTTGGCCAGAGTCCTCTGAAAACAACAATTTAGATGCTTTCTGTGGCTATAAGTACCTTGCCTTCTGTCACCCTGGACAGATATCTAATGAGGTATCTAATGAACCGTTCTGGCTCTCATAGGAAGTGGTTGAAGCCATTGATCGCAGTGCCTTCATCAATTCTGACCTGCCAATCATCATATCGATTGAGAACCACTGTTCACTGCCTCAGCAACGAAAAATGGCAGACATTTTTAAGGTAAGCTTTTAGCTAATAGGCAGGATGGTATATTGGCCTTTGTCCTGCAACTGTTGGGTTTTACATGGGGCCACCACAGACCACCACAGCTGGATCTCAGCCATGAAGCACAAATAGTTAAGGTTCCTTAGACCTGAGAAATGGGGGTGCCCTGGGGAACTCTCCTGGACGGTCCATCTTTTCAGCTGGAGTAACAGAAGCATTGTTCTGTGGTCTCCTGACCATTTCCAGAAAGCCTCAGGAAATAAGGAGAGACCAACTCTCTAATACTTCTTGAACCACAAATGAGGGACACCAGGATTTCACCTATCAGTTGTTTGTGGAGAAGCTGAAAATATCTCATAGCAAATATGTCAAATCTTATGGCCCACACCACATATACGGAGATCCAAGTTGACAAAGAGCCTAGACTGGCCTCAACAGTTGCTATGTTGCTATAAGCAGCCCTTCCTTATACAAGGGAACTATAATGCAGACAGATTTTGGGACAGATATTCCCTCATACTTACCCCTTCCTCCAATGGTAGAGGCATGTGTGGAAACATGGCTCTCAGGGGGAGGAAGGGACATGGCAGCAGAAAATGCCCACAAACACTAATACTACAAAACTAATTAGCCTGTCATAATGCCTTTTCTTTGCCATCAGTTAGAATAATGGTCTCTAAATGTTTCTACTCCTAACAATAAAATATGATAACATGTATACTGATTGTGCATTTATTGACTTATTTCTAAATTATGTATATATCCCACTTATTAACATTTTTTATACATGCAAAAAGTAGACTATAAAGGGGAATAATATAGCGGTAATAAAGGAAAAAATAATTTTCAGTACTATTACTTATTAATGGTACAAAAAACCGTTTCGCTCTCATAAAATATTTTAAGTAAATTTATTATTTATTTATTATCTAAATTTTTTAATTAAAATTTATTAGGGTGACGGGCCAGCCAAGTGGCTTAGTTGGTTAAGAGCTTGCTCAAGAGTGCAAGCTCTGAGCAACAGCAATTCGAGTCCCGGCCCGAGCTGAGCAGCCGCTGAGCTGCCAACAGGTGGCAGGATAGCTCAGCTAAAAAACAAAACAAAACAAAAACAAAATTTATTAGGGTGACAATGGTTAGTAAATTACATAGGTTTCAAGTGTACAATTCTGTAATACATCATCTATATGAGAGTAATGTGATTGAACATGCTTCACTATTTTTGAGATTTTTGGTTTTAACTTTGTGATCAATGACTTGGATGTCTGGTCTTATTTGGTTTATTATTTCTGTATTTGGTTTTAATAGCTATAGTAGCTGATAAAGATACTTTACAAGCATACATGTATCTAGATGGAAAAGAGGTGTCATGAGCTGTGCTTGCCAAATCATGGTACCCATGTCTCAGTTCCATTAATGATGCAAAGGTTTTTGTTGCTATTTGGCTAGAAAAGTTGTGTGTTTCCTGATATTTATCAGCTTTTCTTAGAAACTCATTGAGAAGGTGTTGCCTTTTATATTTTTAACAAATCTCAAACACCACTAAAACCCTCTATTTGGAAGATTTTTTTAACATTTAGAAAGTCTGCTTTCAAGTTTCTTAAATTTGCATATATTGGAGTTTTTATAATAACACACACTGTTTCCTACAACAAAATCACATCACAATAGAAATATTTTTAGGCATCTGTTTTTAAAATACTTTTTCCAGAACACAAATTTTCTAAAAAGCAATAACTAACTCAATGTTTAAACATTACCCTTATCACATAGGAACAGATTAAATGTAATTATTATTATTATTATTATTATTATCATGATTATCATTATTATCATCATCATCATCTAATAACAACAAAGTACTGCCCCCACTGTAAACAAAAGAAGTCAGAATTTTAAGACACTTTTTTAAAAAAGAAAAATGCATAAATTAGAACTACTCCTGTAACTACGTTTTTGTGATATAAAGTGTGAACTTCTATTATGTATAAAAGATTTTTGTAGTCACTTTTTATATCATTATAAAATATTTTCAAGAAAAGTCTTCCTTTTATGAAATTAACCACAGTGGTGACATCCTGGGGCACTCAAACTGCAATCATCTCAATCAGCTGGTAGCAAACAAAGGTGTGAGGGACCCACTGTCAGTCCCTCTCCATCAGAAGACACCCCCCCCCTTGTCCCTTAGGGACCTTCGTGAACAGCTCCTGGCATACAGACTGAATCCGACATATTGAGTGAGGGAGCCATTTTAATCAGTACATTAAACATGAGTAAGCTTCCATTTTTTTTATTAAAAATAACTAGAAGTGGAAATTTCTATATTTTTTCCTACCCTTACCCCAATGGATCATCCTCTGCCTGCCCCCCACTACCCACCTCCGTAAAGGACACACATTTCATTTTGGAGACCGGGGCTCAAAATCTTTGTGAGAATGGTGTCTGTGGTACTTTTTACCAAATGGTGGCAAATTCTCCCTATTATCTTTCATCTTCGTCCCCACTCCATACCTATGTCAAGGTTTTCATCCTTTTAACTTCATACCCACATCTGGAATGGGCCATCTTCTACAATGTGCCACAGCCCCTAACTGGATCTGTTTTCTTCTTTAGTATATCAGACCCAGGAGCATGTTTCTAAATAGAGTGGGACCCACCTGGAGAATGGCCTAGACTTGTCCTGTCCTAACCATCTCCCTTCCTCCCAGTAAGAAACCACTGGGAAGCCGGGGGGCACGACATACTTTCCTAGGATTTTTAAAACAATTCAACTGGGCTGAAATGTCTAGTTGCATAATTGAAGTATAGGTAAAAGGTATTGATTATGTTTTCCTTTATTGTTTTTAGACTGTGTTTGGAGAAAAACTGGTGTCTAAATTCTTATTTGAGAGCGATTTCTCTGATGACCCAATGCTTCCCTCACCTGACCAGCTTAGAAGGAAAGTGCTTCTTAAAAATAAGAAGCTAAAAGCCCATCAGACGCCGGTGGATATCTTAAAGCAAAAGGTACTCTCTTCTTGTTAAAGCAGTTATGGGTGTGCTGTGTGCCCAGAACAAAGAAATTAAAACCATTCTAAGCTTTCAGATGACCTGCTAGGAAATCAGTTTTTGAAGACTAAGTTTCCTTGAATGATACATTTGATTTTTGACTTCCCATTTTATAGACCAATAATTATTGCCATCCTATTCACCTAAAATTTTATTTTTGTAAAATTGATTGCTCATGTAGAATGTACCTCTGTTATTTAATTGATTCTGAGTGGGACAATATGTGACTCTTGTCTCTGGACCTGGGCTTCACAGCTGCCTATCCCACAGTGATTGTTCTAGTCCCCTGTAGGGAGAGCCTGTCATAGGGAGAGCACTTGAACATGGAGCTGTGGGTCGCAAGGTCAGTGGAACCCCATAGCAGTAGCCCCATGTTCCCAGCATGGAAGCTGGCACAGTGTATCACTGTGGCTTGTGGACTCCAAAGCACTCCCATACCTGGCTTGCCTATGGAGAGCTGCATCCCAAACACCACAAACCCACCTGTGTAAGATGGCCCTCAGCCTAAGGATCCCTGAAAACATTTAGGTCCAGGACCACTGAGTTCATTTGCCGGGTTGCACTCACTTATCCCACAGAATGACAGCTCCCAAAACTCTGTCCGACTTAGGAGGGTTCTATTGGCCCTAAAACACCACTTTTGAAATTATAGCAACCATGAGTTGCTGCACCAACCTCAGCACCCTGCAGGGGTAGAATGGTGCAGCTCTAGCAGCAGACAGTCCAGAGCCAAAACTACATTGTGTCCTATAGGTTTTAATTTCTCTGTGTGCCATCACCTCCAAGACTCCAGGCCGTACTCCTGTCCTGCTTTAACGGTTCCCAGAAAGCACAGAATTCAGGATCCTATGGCCCAATAAATTCGGAACCTTTGTCCTCAGTCATTAATAAAAATGTCAAGTCGAATTGAGTCAAGTGATCAGTTTGACCTAGTTGAGTAGCCAATTTGAAGCAATCATCAAATCTTCGAAAAGCTTTAATTTGTAGAACTCCCAGGTAGGGCCAGAGTTTAAAGGCAATGACATATAGCATGATATTAGAGAAAGAGCATTATGCGGGGAGCTGAGGTACCCGGTTCTAGACACTAGCTCGTCACAAACCTGCTAGATGACCATAGGCCGATCAATCTTTCTGGGCCTCCATTTCTTCATCTGTAGAATGGGAATGTTATGGTGTCTAGCCTCAAAGGGCTCTTCTGACACTAAAATCTCACAAAACCTCTCCCAAGATGAATCATGAAACCCCTATCAGAACTGCAGACCAGGCTGTAAACATTTTATTATCCCACTTCTCAAGCTATATTTCCAGTGTGTCTTGCCATTCTAGAACATCACTGCTTCTCCAAGGGACCCTTGGAGCATCCTGTCATCTGTCCTTATAAGTACCAGGGAGTTCTCAGATTGTCCAACTCGCCTGCAGTGGAGTTCCAGGTGGCCCAAACTCCAGGCGAATTAGGGGCTTATCTTATACCACCCGGTAACCTCAGTGATTCGCCACAAGTCTGATTGCTTCAGATGCACTCCAGGTGGGGGAGGAAGGTGAGGCCAGAGGCTCCACCATCTTTAGACTTACCCTTCGGAGCAGAAAAGCAGCTATTTACAGAAAGGACCCCAAACCAGTCCAGTCCAGCAGATCCCTACTGACCAAGTTTGCCCTAACTAGAGCAGCTCAGGATTATCACAGATCTTCTAGACCTATGGTCACTAAATTTTTTTGCTCAAGTATCCCTGAAAAATTTTTTGAAAAATTGTGTACCTCTTTCATATATTTTCACCCTCATACATTGTTAAGGTGACATTAACAATTTTATCACAAGTTTAACCAATCACAAAGGAGATATTTTCAGACATATTATTTATCATACATAAATATATAACACATATACATTATGTACAAATATAATGTACAAAAACAGTCCTCATTGTCAAATAAGTCAGCTTAGTCAGCCAGACTTACCTTTGGTCAGAAAAAGTCTGACTTTTTTTTTTTTAATTCAAATAAATATTGTATTATCATTCCTATGATGACCATCTCACTTTTGAATTTTAATTCTAAGATAGATGGCTGGATAGAGGAAAGACAGGAAAGAAGGAAGGGAAGGGAAGAAGGATGGATAGATAGATGATAGATAGATAGATAGATAGATAGATAGATAGATAGATAGATAGATAGATAGATGATAGATAGAGGCATGGAGCCATGAATGTGGTTGGGGGAACCTGGATGAAATGAGATGCTCCCCTTTTTAGTTTCTCCAGACTCTCTCAGGAGCTCTACATTCTCAAATGTCCCTTTGCTGCCTTGGGTAGTTTCTCACTTCATCTCATGCATCATAGTAAGATTGTTGATTGATAAGTGAGAGTTATATTTTCTTTTATAAAGTAGGAGAATAGCAATTATGAAAAGAAGATGGGAAAGGAGAACTAGCTGACCATAAGCTTATTTTCAGGCAGGGCAATTTTTTGAAAAAGTACACATAGCTGTTGAAAATCTTGAATCTAAAATTTAATTATTTTTAACATATAAACCTGCATATCTCTAGAAGTCTTTGCATGCCATGGAGGTACACATTACCCAATGTGAAGGTCACACACAGCTCTACGCCAAGAATTACACAATCGGCCACCTTCAGGGGCCAAGCAAGAGACATAAATATGAGGAGCCAGCTGGATACTGTACATGACAGTTGGGAATGATGAGGACAGGGGTGGAGCATGCATAAATGAACAGCTCTAAAGAAATTATTTTTAAAACACTGTACCAGCCAAACAAGTCTAGCCTGGAGGTGAAGTTGGCCAAGGGCCACCAGTACGAGACCTCTGCTAGGTCTACCTTTGTCCTGCATTCTCAGAACTGCTCCAGAAGGCCTAGCATTTACTTGGGTTCCAGAGGTCATGAGGTCATGCTGATGGGCTTTGTTATGAAGTCATTTGACTATACTTAACCTTGGACAACACAGCTTTGAACTGCCTGGGTGCACGTATAGGTGGATTTGTTTTCAATAAATCCCATAAATATATTTTCTCTTTCTTACGGTTTTTTTTAATAACATTTCATTTCTCTAGCTTAATTTAGTGTAAGAATACGGTAAACAATACATATAACACACAAAATAATGTGTTAATCGGCTGTTCATGTTATTATCAGCAAGGCTTCCGATCAGCAGTAGGCTATTAGTAGTTAAGTTCTTGGAAAATCAAAAGTTACGCAAGGATTTTTAACTGCATGGGGGAGGGTGCTGGCGCCCCTAACCTCCCACATCATTCAAGGGTCAACTGTGCAACATTAGCATGTGTTCTCTGATGTCTGGTCCTCCTCAAATTGCTGTATCAGCAACTGACTACCCAGCACTGGGGGCTCTTTCTTCTATAACACCGTTCCTCCGTGCTATTTTCTTTACCCAGCAACTACTCCCACTCCCGACTGCCAAGCAGACACAGCTGCCCTGTGCATACCTCTATGGTCTTCGGGATGTGTCTGAATGTTCTTGGAGCTCTTGCCTTGCCCATTCTTCACAGTCATTTGCAGTTACTTATGCAGCCTCCATTCCACTAATGACTAGATCGCGTTGTCACAGAAGCCTTCTTTATGTTGAGCCCAAATCTTCCTTCCTGTGCCTCCTACTCTTTGGCACTACTTCTTTCCTCTGCAGCTGCACAGACTAATTGCATATCTAGAAAGCTAGCATGTGTCTCCCCACTAGCTTTTCTCCGCTCCAAGCTAAACATTCTTGTTGTATCAACTGTTCCTCACAGGATATGGCTGCTAAGACTCTTCACTGTCCATTGAGAATATTTTGTATAGTCTTAAATTTGTGGATATTCTTGAATTTGTCAATCTTAAAACATGATTTCCAGAATTAAATCAATGCTCCAAATAAGGTCTGACAGCATGAGGACAGCGAACCTATCACCTCTCTCTTACTTTGGACTTTATACCTTACTGAATGCAACCTAGGACTATTCTCACTTTTAAAATTCTTTAATGCACACCAGGCTCATATTGAGTTGGTGGAAAACAAAAGGGGTTTGGTTATTTTCACAAGGATGGTTCTGATGCCTAGTCTTCCCGTTTTTCCAGGTTTACAATTAATTTTAACCTTTCACGTGCAGGAGCCCCACATTCATCTCTATTAAACTCAGTCTTCTTGGTTTTGGTATGCTATTGCCGCATACAAGGTTCTTTGTGAAGTTTGACATCTGTCGTCCAATGTATTTATTGGCAGTTTTTCAAGTTCTGCTTTCATCTGGAGCCGGTCAGCCAAGTGCAGAGGGCAGTGGTCCTGCTTACAGAACCTCCCGGAGTTTAGTGCTTATCACTCTTGTCTCGTGCTCTCCTTTCTTGCAGCCCACATTTCTCCAGAGTCTGCTTCAACTTCTTTATTTATAGAGTAGAAAACTGAGACCTAGCCGTTTATGTGACTTCCTCAAAGCCACCCAGCTCCTAGTGGCAGAGCTGGGATTCAGAGTCAAGTCTTCAGGGAAGACCTTTTCAAACGCAACTCAGAAGTCAGGACACAATGATGAGAATCACTGGGGCACTTTTAGATTCTTAGGTCCCACACTTGCCCAACTAAATCAGGATTTCCACAAGGAAGGCCTGGAAATCTGTTTATTTAAAAAGAATTCTTCTCATCCTGGAAGTTCGGAAACACTGCTTATTTATTATTTCCCACAAAGTGAGTTACCTTATCCAAAAAGCCTGAAGAGGTTACTAAGTGGGAGATTTGTTCTTAGTAAACCCATTGCTAACTCTTGCTAACCACCTCTTCATTTTCGGCGTTCTCACAACCAAACAATTAATAACCCATTCTGAAATTTTGTTCCGACAACTTGACAGTTCCTACCATATAATTTCCACAACTTACCTCTTCCTCCTTTTGGAAAAATGAGACAATGTAACCCCATTTCCAGTTTTTTAAGCCCACTTCCAGCCTCCCCTGATTTCCCAGGGAGCATCTGCCAGGACTTTCAGTTGTCTGGCAGACTGTGGGTCTGGGCTTGGTGATCTGCATTCATACCAGACTGGCTGAATGAATGCTGAGAGCTCCAGTGTGCTCAGGCCCAGCCACTAATTTAGAAGGCCTGGGTCATTTCCGCACAAGTCACTCACCCTCAGTAAGGATGGACTGACTCAGAGCAGGATTTCTGAAGCCACGCCCTCCATCTGCCTCAAGCTTGTGCTGAGGCTCTTACTGAGGCCTCCTGACGGCATCTCACCAGATCGCCAGTATTCTGAGCGTGGTCTCTTGGACTCCAACCCCCTCAACTCAGTTCACACTAGATGACAGTCACTGTGCTAGGCATTGAGGGAAGAATAAGACATGGCTCCTGCCCAGACCCGCCTGAGCCAGTCTCCTCCTCTGACCCCTCCCTCCCACCCCCTGACCTATATCTGAATTGCTTTTATTCAAGGGCTGGGGTCCTGTTCTTCTGCCTCAGAATAAGCAGGATATTGCAAAGAATAAGGCTATAGCTTCTAGATATCCATTTGGCCATCTCTCCCATACTTGCTGCACTAGTGGAAGTATTTGAGTGTCCAAGCGATCTTGGCACTCTCTTTCAGACATTTGCTAGTCAGTGGGTATTTGAATGGCATCACTCCTATCATACACTTCTCACCGTTTTCTGCCTGTGGGCCCACCAGGCTCTTTGCATCGTCTTTTCCAGGGTTTGGCTCTCCCTTGAATGCTCGCTGCATCAGGGCCCTTCTCTTATCCATGACAAACAGACTTGCTTTTGTGGGTCACCTGTGCCTAGAGCAGATTTCCTGAAATTTTGAAGAACACTAATTCTATGAGATAGTCTGAAAAATAAAAAAGATTTTAAAATCCCCTCATTACATAGGCATGGGAAGTTCTGCACTGGAGATCTTTAACGAATCATGATGCCCTTTGGCATATTAAATGAAGGCTACGTGAAGCTCTGTAGTAGAATGTTTTCAGTCTGTTTAAATGGCTGTTTCCAAACTTTCATTGTGTTTTGTGGTTACTGTAATTGTAAGTTTTTACATAACAGTTATTAACAACATGGAGCTAGTGTTCCATATAACCCACTTTGAGAAATCCCAGCCTAGACATTGTTCAGTTATCCGAAGTGGAGGTAGATATACACATAGCCAAAACTGTCTCTTCCTTATGTATACATTTTTATTATAAAGGAAATATAACTACATTTCAAGAAGTTTAGAGAATAGAGAATTGTTTTTAAATATACGTAATTCCAAGGCCAAAAATAACATGTATTACAGGGATTCTTAACCTTGGTAACATCCATAGATAGAATTCAGGGAGTCAGTGAACTTACGTGGAAAAAAAATTACATCTTTATTTTCACTAACCTCCAGCTGAAATTTAGCATTCATTCTGAGTATAAATGTAGGGAACAAACCACAATAATATTAGCAGTACTTATGTCTTTGTCATCAGTAGAAATCATAGCTTTTTCATATGTATCACAGTTGTTGCTAATATCTCCAAGAATTATTTATGCTCATCACTATTTCAAAAACATTACTTGGCCCACCATTATGTATTTCTTACTGTGTTAATAAAGAAACATTTATTCCTATTGCACAGAGTTGTTTTTTGAACAGTTGATAACTGTATTCAACATTCTTTCTTTCCCTCTGTGATCTTATAATTTGATTTTATGCATTAAAAACATATTTCTGAGAAGGAATCCTACCTCACCAGACTGCCAGAGGGATCTGTATCACAAAAACAGGTCAAGAATCCTGTTGTATTACCATTTAATAGCTAGTCTTTTTATGCATGTCATTTTATATTATTACAGTCATTATATAGAGACAGAGAGATATATAGCTTTGATCAAAGGATATAGAATTGTATACATATTTATATAGGTACATGTATATATGTATATATTTACATATATAAATATTATATACACACACAGTTTTGTATCCTTTGTTCAATAAATACACATCACAATTATTTTTTCATGTCTTATTCTCTCAATTGGATAATACCATAGTGTACTGGCCCCATTCCTCAATTGTTTCTTTTTTGTGACTTTTTTTATTGCTTCCTATTTTTAATTTATGCAAGTAACTTTTCCTGTATTTCAGATTATGTCCTTATGCTGGATTCCCAGACCTATATTTATTCTTGTGTCCTGTGATATCCCTTCATGGTAATTCTAGTCAAATGTAGAGGCTCATGACCTCCCAAGCAGCACACATCAAGTTTTTGGAAGTTTCTAAGCCTATCTTGTTAAACCTGATAGTGGTTCAGATAAAGTCTGTTGAAAAATATTTAAACCAGCCACTATTCATTTGTTCTCCTTATCCATAGGGATTCTAACATTTTTCTCAAGGTCCAAAGCCTTTAGATATTATTTTAAGAAGGAAAAATAAACAGTTTTTTCTTTCTTTTTAAAAGCAGAGATTTACTTTTCTAAAATTAATGGGCTGATTCACTTCCTCATCATTTGGGATTGATGGTGGTTCTCTGAAGCCCCAACGTTTCTCCTAGAGGATTTGCCTGGGGAACCCGGATTTCTTGTTATTTTTCCTAAAAGCTCCAGGATCCCTCCTGTAGGGATGTTAACATTCACCCAGTGATTAACCTTGTATGTCAAGTGAATTTAGTTTTTTGTTTTCTTTCCCAAATGAATCCAACTAGGATAAGCCACTTTTAATGACTGTGGTAAGCACAAAGTGGTCATTTCGAAAGCTATGAATGAAAGTTCACTAGCTTACTCTGCAGTCTTTAATTATTGATATCTTACAGGCTCATCAGTTAGCATCCTTGCAAGCCCAGGCTTACAATGGTGCGAGCACCAACCCCCCACCTGCTACTAATGAGGAGGAGGAAGATGAAGAAGACGAATATGATTATGACTACGAATCTCTCTCTGATGGTAAGAGAAACAGAACCTCATGCTGTAAACAGGGAAGTGCCTAGATAAGGTTTTCTGTTGGGTTTTTTGGTGGGTTCTCCCTCCCCAACATAAATCTAGCACTCCATAGACCAACAAAACAGATTGTTGTAATTTTGTCCAAGAGTCTCTGAATCCCATCACTTAACGAGAAGGACCAAGCAAGGAAAGAGATGTTAGCCACCACAGCCACCATTCAAGGAAAGAAGAGGAAGGTTCAGGATGTAACACAGGGGTCATTCGTAAGTGGATTTTTGGAGGAAGAGGTGGAATTACAGAAGAGAAACCCCATTCTCACCCTTTCAGTTTCTGGCGTGGCGGATGCTCTTGGTGGCTGAATCTTTGTTGTCTCCTACACCACCTGCAGAGGGCAGCATCACGTTTCTGTACTCTCTGCCTCTCCCTTTGGCAGCTTTCACTTCTGCTTTCTAGGAGTATGGAAAGGAAAGAAGCATCATCCTACCAACCTTCTCACATTACTAAGCCAACCAGACAGTCTCTTCTGGCTCCACCAAAGGGACAAAACCTCGGTGATGGCTAATGGTGCAAGGCAAAATAGTCACGTGAATGATGTTAAATAGAGATTATGGTAAAGGATTTTTTTAATGTAAGAATTAGGCTTCAGGTGTGGTTTTTTTTGCACTAAATTAGTGTCACTGGTTATGGATTGCATAATGTTTTCTCAGGTACCATTGCTGATGGTAGACTGTTTCATTTTGGCAACTTCTGAAAGACAACAATGTGGTAATGAAAATTTGCCAAAGTTCCTATTTACATAAACGTTATATATGTAGAATATATTACTTCTCCGTAGGGTAATGGTTTTGCTAATATGCAGATATGCGCAGACAGCAACCACTTACCACTGGCATCGACACAGCCAAACCATCCTCTACACATCTGCTTCTCGTGCAGCAGAATTGTCTCCTGGTCATGTTTGGTTCTGTGAACCTCCATCATGGCCCGCAGTTTCAGTCCAGTCTCTTTCTGCCCCACAAATAATACAATACTAGGCTATGTCCGTTTGTTAAATTATACTTGACATATGATATTATATTAGTTTCAGGGGAAAATAGTGATCACCATTTATATTCTTTATGATGTGATCACCACAATAAGTCTGCTAACCGTCTGGCACCATACAAGTTACTCTGATAAGTCACTGACTATTTTTTCTATGCTCTACATTACATCCCCATGACTTTTTTTTTTTAATAACTGGAGGTTTGTGCCTCTTATTCCTTTCACCTTTTTCACCCATCCTGTCATGCCCCTCCCCTCTGGCAACCATCAGTTTGTTCTCCATGTCTATGAATCTGTTTCTATTTTGTTTTATTTGTTCATTTGTTTTTTTAGATTTCACATATAAGTGAAACATGCGGTATTTATCTTTCTCTGACTTATATCTCTTAGCGTAACACTCTCTAGGCCCATCCATGTTGCTACAAATGGCAAGATTTCATTCTTTTTATGGCTGAGTAATATTCCATTTTGTATATACACCACATCTTCTTTATCCAGTCATCTATTGATGGGCACTTAGGTTGTTTCCATATCTTGACTATTGTAAATAGTGCTGCAATGAACATCAGGCTGCATATATCTTTTCAAATTATTGTTTTTTTGTTTTCTTCAGGTATATACCCCAAAGTGGAATTTAATATTTGTCCTTAGCAATAGTTGATTGCTTCATACCATCAACTGAAAGCCAGTTTACTTGACTTGAAATCCCATCAGATAGTATGAGAGGCATATTATCTAATGGGGAGGTCAAAAGAGGGAGAAAATGAAAAGGAGTCAAGATAATTTCTTGTATCCTCTTCCTGCAAAGCTGTGGGAATATGAACATTTGTATATTGACTTATTCTTCCCCGTGGGCCACTACCACAGGCATGGTGATGTTCTCCCATAAAAGAACAAATTTATTCAGACAGAAATGGAAACCACATTTAAGATATCCCCCGATCCAGATGTCATTTGCTTCTGTAAGAAGTTAGTGCACTGGAAGATGAATTCGCTCTCTATCATAAGTCACTCCTGTGTTTTTCCTGTGCTTTTGTGAACAGAAAAGGGGACGCTTTTCTTAAGTATCAGTATTATTATTATAGGTGTTTTGATATGCAAATAACAAAATGAACAGGTAGGGGAAGGATCTTTCTGATGTACAGGGATATTGTAGGTTCAGTTCCAGAATACCGCAATAAAACAAATATCACAATAAAACAATTTGTAACCTTTTGCTGGTGGAGGGTCTTGCCTTCAATTTGTAAATAAATGCCACATAAGTGAAGCGCATTAAAATGAGGTATGCCTGCATTTTCAGTTAGGAGAGTACAATTTTGCTATTTGTTTTTTTACATTTCACATATAAATGAAACATACAGTATTTATCTTTCTCTGACTTATTTCACTTAGCATAATATTCTCTAGGCCCATCCATGTTGTTACTACCCCACTGGATTTCTATGATACTTGAGTGCTTTTTTTTAAAACCCGCATGTGCTGCGGTGGGGTATGAATGGAAAAGGGGCACCACCAGGTTCTGCTCCGATGGACTGTGAGACCTTGGTAGTGTCCTTTCACCACCCTAAGCCTTAAGTCCCTCAGACGTGTAATGAGAAGGCACTGGTACGTGTTGACTAACGTTCTCCTTTCTTCCAGCACTAACATCTATAATCTAGGACAAAATAGTCCACTGCCACCACATGATTAATTCTCATTTCATTGAAAGAGTCCTGACTGGCTGATTCCCAAACAGGCTTTGTAGTGATGCTGTGATCTGTTTAAGTTTGTCCTTTTCAGGCTTCCTTATGCTACTGTGTAATGCCCTGTCAATCTTGCACTTTTGGTTGTGGTTTGTGGTGCCTCGCTCATCTCTGCTTCCCTCCACCACCTTCACTTTCTCCAGCCGAGATGAGAAGAAAATAGAAACATGCCTGATGGGGGTAGGACCATTCCCAGCTTCTTAGGGAGAATCTCAGAGGTTTCTGAGCTTCTTGTAATGATGGGTCCTTTTGAGGATGAGATGGAAGCTGTGATCACTCCTCTCAGAGAAATAAACATATTCTCAAATTTCTGCATAAAATTGCAGGAGTGGTCACAGGCCTTCTGAGGCCCTCGCAGGCATCCAGGTTAAGAACCCATCTCTACAATCTGGGTGACCCAGTTTATCTCTGTGACAGCTCTAGTCCTCAGTTTTCATATCTATAAAATGAGAAAATTAGCCTAAAGCCTCTTTTGGCTATAAAAATGTGATGATTCCTAGCCACAGAATTACTTCCAGAAAATCTAAAGGAAGTTGCAAATGAGGCTCATGGATTTCAGGAACCACTACTCTGCCTTTTAGCCAATAAGTTCTAAATGACTATTTATTTAATTAAATTTCATTAAATAAATATAGATTAATTTTTCCCAACCTTGTTGTTTATATTGACTAGCTTTGAACATGCACTAGAGTACAGATTTCAATTTGCAACTTAACATGAATATACAGAGGGTGCCAAAAAATGTATACACATTTTAAGAAAGGAAAAAACTGTATTAATTGTAATATTCAATATATACCAGTAACAAAAGATGAATACAAGTCACATATGACTTCTGCAATTACAAGAGGTGCTCAAAGTGGTTACCATCAGCATCCAGACACTTCTGATTACGGCGAACTACTACTGCTTGAGCACAGATTACATCTTTTAAAATATGTATACTTTTTGTGGCACCCCCGGTAATTTACAACAGTGACCACATGAGTCTAACAAATTAATCAGTTTCTATCCGTTTGACATAATGTATTATTGGGAGTATTACAACATGTCAGAAGCTGAACATATAAAATGTGAATGTAGCGTCATGATTAACATTAACAATGATTGCATTCCTTTTCTCGCTAGCTCTTGGCATCCCTTAATCGTAAAAACTTTAAATTGATGGAAGATTTCTTATTTCATTGATCTTATGACCTGAGCTATTGTTAATTATGCTTTGCTTTCATACCTTAGTTTATCTGGCTTTTTGTCTTAATTTTTCTTACTTTTATCCCCTTTCTGATTCTGTTTTTCTGTAGCAGATGTCCTTACTGCTTCTCCTGCTCCTAACAGTCAGGAAGGTAAAGCCATTTGAACTGGGCATTTTAACTGCATGAATGTCTGGCATTCTGTTTCCAATTTATTAGACCTGATTAGCATGAAGTTGTGATACTTATCTGAATAAAAATTTAATAAGATGACTGATCTTATTTACTTCTCGGCAGCCTGCATGGCCCTGCTTTGGCATAAGGATATTTTGGTCTAAGCATTTGTGGTCTGAGATAGGAAACCCTGGGTGAGAAATGAGCTTTCTTGTTTTTTATTTTAAAAGAACATAATCATGACATACCTCTAACACCTTTAAAGTCGTTTTGAATAGAAGTACCAAAACAAAAGTATAAAATTATCTCTCATTTTTAGATATATTTTAATTCCTATCCCTAAGATTTTCCCTTGATAAATTGATAAACAATTATGAGAACTTTACTTTCCAATTAAGTATAATTGTGAAAACTGCATTGCAAATAACAATGTCTTTTTTTTCTTCTGGTTTTGACATTTCTAGAGGTAAACAAAGCTAATAGCTTCCTTTTAAAATGAGAGTGATTAAACCATGTATGTACCATCTAGAAATGCTTCAACCACTAAATCCTTTCCAAATGTGTGTGCTAAGAGCTTCTTGACACAGGGTATCTTCCATAATGTTTGCACAGTTCCAATCCTCTGTATGAAAATGAGCCTTCTCATTTAGATTATGTCTGTATGGTACCAAAACTACTGGTAAATGAATCCATTCAATCAAAAATAAACACATTTATTTAACAAATTTAAACATTATACTTCAAGCCATCATTTTGGTAACATGTAGCCAGCCTCAGTTTTACAGATAAGCACAAGTATCTGGATATCCTTGCAATGATGTAGACGTAGCCCTTAAATGAAGTATTTGGTTCTTGTTCGCTGAAGCCTGCCAACTCATTTTCAGACAACATTCTAGAAGACAGACCTGAAAATAAATCATGTAATGACAAGCTTCAGTTTGAGTATAATGAAGAAATCCCCAAGAGGATAAAGAAAGCAGATAACTCTGCTTGCAACAAAGGAAAGGTGGGTGAATGGTTTCTGTTCAATTCCACTTGGACCATGGTACTCTCGTCAGTTTCAGGTGGGATTTCCCTCCCTCCCTATCCCTTCCCTTCACCTTTCCCCTCACTTTCCCTTAGATGCCAAAGCCCACATGGTGATGCTATGGGACATCCACCTGCCATTTGTAGAAGGTTAGTCATTGATTCCTCCAACCAATACGTACTAAAGCTGTACTGTGTGCCAGGCACTGAGGTAGCACAGAAAGTGGTGTCGAGGTGGAGACAAACCTATAAATGGTGCTTGTAAATAAGAACAAAGAACAGTGTTATCAGAGCGTCAGAGAAGAGGATGTTGGAGAAGGAAGAGCTGGCCAAGCCGACAAAAGCAGGGCAGGCAGGCCAAGAGGACAGCCTGGCACATTCAAAGAATTGCTAGGAGTTTTAAAAGTTTAACAGGGACCCGACTGTGAAG